GTGTTCTAACAAATGCCGGTGACCTTCAAAGTGCTCTAACAATACCGATGTCATTGAAAGTGTTCTAACAAATGCCGGTGACCTTCAAAGTGCTCTAACAATACCGGTGTCCTTGAAAGTGTTCTAACAAATACCGATGTCCTTGAAAGTGTTCTAACAAATACCGATGTCCTTGAAAGTGTTCTAACAATCCTGATGACCTTCAAAGCGCTCTAACAATACATTGTGAAGTATATACGAGACAAATACGAAGTTTTGTATTTTAAAATATAAATTAAAATCAAATCTGGTTGAGGAAGGTAGATATTGTAGATAACAAAAACTTACTAAAGACCTAAGGATAGTGTCTTTGGTAAGTTATAAATTCCTGACCCTCCTAGGTCATTATTTCTCGTTGCTAATAACACATCTTTCTAAAGGACAGAAATAACTTAATCCTAACAGTTTAGAGTATTATGGGTATAAAATAGAAAATATTAAATCAACTCTTTAGAACAATACGAAGATAATATGAAAATTAAATCAACTCTTTGGAGCAGAATGAGGATAAAATGAAAAATTAAATCAACTTATTTAGAGCAGCATGAGGATAAAATGAAAAATTAAATCTAACTCTTTAGAACAGTATGAGGATAAATGAAAAATTAAATCAACTCTTTAGAGCAGTATGAGGATAAAATGTATTGTCAGCGTGTATTCGGATAACCCTAAAGATATATGTAGATGATTCAACAATGATTCTATACTTATGATATTTGTTTTTAATTTTATTTGCATAATGGTCTAAGGAGTTAGATTTTATTTCCTTTTTCCATATCATCCCCATACTATTCAACAGAATTTATATAATTTTCATTTTATTTCCATTCCGTTCTGTAAGAGTTGATTTAATTTTCATTTCATCCCCATACTGCTCTAAAGAGTTGATTTAATTTTCATTTCATCCCCATACTGCTCTAAAGAGTTGATTTAATTTTTAATTTATCCTCATACTGCTCTAAAGAGTTGATTTAATTTTTCATGTGTCGCAAGAACTAATAGCAGAGAAGGACGACACACAGCTACCTTAATTGTAAAAGGTAAGATGCATTTACTCGTTTCTCATTCTATGATTGGTCTTCTATATGATCACGTGCGTTACAAAAATAATATATAAATAATACTTCTCATATTTCAGGAATGACAGTAACGTGTGATTGTACTGTTAGTGTATGATAAAAGCTCTTAGATAAAACTTCAGAAACATTGCTCGTTTGTAAATGTAAAATTGTAGCTAAGGAAAATTTAATATAAAATAAGTAAAGATTATTGTCAGCGTGTATTCGGATAACCCTAAAGGTATTGTCAGCGTGTATTCGGATAACCCTAAAGGACTAATATTATCAACATTAACCTTTAAGTTGTTTGTACAGTTGTTGATGAGCCGGGCGTGGCCTTGTGGTTATCGTGTTGAATTATAGATCCTAAAGTACATGATTCTCGAACCATGGCCTAAAAAAGAAAATCGCGCTCCACACTTTGAGGCCATGGGTGCGTTAGAAGAGCGACAGTCAGCTCCTAATGTTCGATTAGAGTAGCCCAAGAGTTGGTGGTGGGTTTTACTGACTAGCTTCCCTCAAAATTAGGAATGGCTAATTTACACATAAGAAACAAACCAAACAGTTGTTAGCCTGTTGTCGAAACACGTTAACTGAATGTATTTTTAATTATAACAATTAATACTTTATTAGAATCGTTTTACCACTGATAATTCGTAATATTTAACTATTATAATTAAGATTTATAGTAGTTCAAACACTTGCCAATACGTGGCGCTGAAGTTCTAATTTATTGGAACCTTTTATCATAGGGGTTATGGTGTTCGCCATTCTGGTTGGCTTCGTAAAGTACAGCCGGTAAGCTTTATTTGGCCATATTTGCTCAAGTGCGTATTTCGTGTTAAATATATTAGTGAATCAGAATAAAATGGCGGCGTGATTATGACCACTCATTTATTCTGCACTGAAAACACCTTCGAGTAACTGGATGCCACGTAGCTACCATCTACACAAAGGAACAAACATGGCGGATTTTCAAGTCCCATTTTCGCAAACTCTTGTTGGATCTGCAGTCGGATTGCTAAGAAACACGGTGACTTGGACCTCATCTCTCTCCTTGTTGTTCTGTTTCCTCAATGTATTCGGTGAAGGTAAGAAATGTTCCTGTTTTTTTTCAACTTTAATTTTTATTCTAATTCACAGCTTATTTTGGTTAACCCCTGTTTTACTTGTTACGATGTTGATGTTTCGTTGTTGCGTCTTACAGTGCACGTGGAAATACAACCGTTTCATTTTCCTCCAAGTGTAGAAGAAGGACAAAAAGTCCAAGTAATGTGTGGGTTGGTTGGAAAAGAAAACTCTGAAACTAAAACAAATTTTAATTGGTTGAAAGATGATAAACCTCTAACTCTGACGAACACCGTAAGATTATTTTCACCAACTTCGGATATTTCTTTATTGGTTTTGGACAATGTGATGGTACAGAACTCTGGGAATTATAAATTCAACACGATAACCACAAGGCCACGCCCGGCTCATCAACAACTGTAAAAACAACTTAAAGGTTAATGTTGCCCGGCTCATCAACAACTGTACAAACAATTTAAAGGTTAATGTTGATAATATTAGTATATATATATATATATATATATATATATT